AAAACTAAACTAACTTTAATTATATCGGATAGCTCTATCAGTTCCCTAAAAGTCTCCCTAAAAGTCCAGGCAGGACAATCTCTAATTGGTCTAGTATTCCCCTTGATCCCCTCACCCACCCCTGGTGTCCCCTCTCACCTACCCCTAGTGTCCTCCCTCACCCACCCCTCTGATGTATTAACACTCATCCGGTAAGTCGCATTCCAACCTTGGACTTCTATTACATTTCCTAAAGCGCTTAAATGACGGTGCCACCTTATATATGAAGATTTCTTTAAGCTCTCAAAATGAGAGTAATCCTATTAAAGTAATCCTCATAAATCCTTTGGTTTCTGTTTGCGACAGCTGCAGAATAAATACACTTAATCTTTTACATGAAAGGGATCGTTTGGAGATTTTGATATTCTTAACCTCCGAGAATTTTGAAGCAAAGTACATCTTACTTCCGAGCCTTGATAATCCTTCCGACGATTCCAACAATTTTCAAACTGTATATACTGTTTCTTCATCAGGTTTGATTCCTGGCAATATGCAGTTGTGTGGTTGTAATTGTTACGATCAGTTGCACATGAAAAGAGTGCTATCAAGTATCGTATAGACTTTCCCTGACTCAGGTACTGATATTCAGCAATACTGCTCAAGGAAGATATGGACCTAACTGGACCTAGAACTGTCGAGTCATCCATTAAAAATAAAGTTAGTTCAAATAAGCTGAAAACAAGTTTGGTTTTTGAAAGAACTCTTGGTGAACTTTAAACTAAACATCTTTGACGCATTAATCATTATATCTGAATTGTTTCAGCTTAATATTTTGAGATTTTGACACGTAAAGAGCCTTTTGTTTACGTCATTGTTTGGAAATTAGTAGTTTCAAACACCTTGTTTATCTTGAGATACTCAAATACAGTATATTCAATTAACTATAAATTTTGTTGTTCATTGATAAAAACACACTTTGATCGTCTTGTTTTACATGAAATTTGCAAATAATCTTAACTTTTTTTAAAGCTTTGCATGGCATTCAACCATGCATATAAATTTAATTCGTATTTAAATGCATGGTGTGAGTATCAACATTTTGCACATTACAATTCAAAACATAGGATAGCATTATGTAACACTGTAGATTTAAAAACAAGTATAATTGCTTTTGCTTATTTGGTGTGATTATATAATGAATGGTCGAGGAAGTTCAATGAAATTAAAACATCTTTTGGACTTTAAAAAAAACTTTTTAGGCGTGAACGGAAACTATTTCTCCTATTGAAATGTTAAAAATAAACTCATCCACCCACATATTCGCGAATGCAGGAACAGTGTGAAGTCAGTAGGTAAAAATTAACCATCTAGGAAGCTTTTCAGCGATCGAACATATACCAAGCATTCGCGAAAACTATGCGGTAAAATTCTAATTAGAAATCGAACATGCCCGTATCGTTCTAATTGAGAATCGAATCTGTAAATTGATTCTAATTATAAATTCGAATCTTTGAATATTGTTTTAGTGTGAATTCGAAAGTTTTCTGTCAATCCAGTAAGTATTTAAGTGTTATCGACATGGTAAAATTTCTGACAGCTATTAGTGGATTTAAATTAATAGTATGTTTATTAAGGGATGTTGAAAAGTTCTCACACTCAGATAAGCGCTTGCTACGGTGCATTGAATACGGTGAGAAAAATACGGTCTCAATTATAAAAATGGAAATCAAGGCAAATCTGTTAGCAGTAACTGATAAAATCATTCGTTTATAATTGACTGCAGTAAAAATCTTCAACGAACATCTATCGGTGTTTTTCCGGGTTCGATATATATGTGTTAGTGTTTATGGGCAACTTTGAGTATTGCGGAGTAAGTGTGCGGACCTGATGTCATCGACAGCTCACCTGCTGCCAATAGAAGAATAAAACCATTATCTATTGTATTCGAACTAGTCATGCTGCAAATTTCCTCAAACTGCTTGCGTTATCATTAGAACTATCTATAGTGCTATTATATTCTGATGAACCCTTGGATTCCGACAATCGTGACTTGTGTTGCCATCCCCATGGCGACACCATAGTCTCAGCCAATCACGAGCACGCTTGTGTTTGAAGTGCGCGAGGAACCACTGGGTTGGCAGGCGGGCGTGACGGCACAACAGCCCTCCTGTTGCGAAAAGTACATTTGGGAATAAAGCATCGGAAATTTTCCCACAGATTTGAACAGTTGCCTTAATGACTGGATTAAATTGAGGTTGAAAAGTTGCACTGTTGACAAGCATCATTATCAGTCGTATGGGGTTAAGTTTGCATGTGCGATTTTGCCCAGAACATTTTAGGTTTTATCCCTTGGTAGCTCGAACTGTCGAGCGCCAGCCATAATCTTTGAATATATACGTTCTGAATCTGATTTCCAACGCTAATTTGAGTCAATTTTATGTTCAAGAAAAGTTAGTGTTGCCATTGCCAGGGTTTTTCCCTTTGAAAAGATGGAATTAACATGTTAAGGACATCATAGGGCAAGAGTGAAGAGTGTTCATGCTGACAGTCTCAATTGCCCATGCACTCAATTCGTTACATTGCATGCGCGTTGCGAAATGAAGCTACTAATCTAAATACCCTGGGTACGAGGTTGGGTACCAATCAGAACCTCCTTAAGTTTGTTCGAATAATTAGATACAATCTAATCAGTTTGTTCTAATTAGATGCAATTCAAATTAGTATTCTAATTAGTTTGTTCTAATCAGATACGAAATCTTTTTTGCAATTTGAATTGCTCTCGTGGTAATTAAATTAAACACCTTCAGTACACCTTGAAATTCTATTTAAAACCTCGTGAAATTGTGGGCCTATTATTGTAAATGAAATGTCTTGAAATTCAAGTTAATATTGAAAAACTTGATAACATTTTGTTGATCGTTTTAAAGCTAATTAACTTTGCAGTGTAGGGTTTACACATTACAGTATTGGAAACAAATAAACCAACGAGCAGAATAAAAAACGACAGCGGTCAAATTTTAGTTATCGCATAGGTTGTCACAGTGGATTCCTTATATTCATTTCCAAGCGGTATAAGTTGAGTTTACAAGAAGTGTGCATAGAAAACCTGACCACGTGTGGGTCACCCCTGTTGGAACTCGACGTCGACAACCAACGACCTACAAGGTCAATTAGTTCAATTAGTTGCGTAATAGATTATTCGATTAACCGTGGATTATTCTAGTTCCTTCGATTTTGGCGGACAATACTTTTGTGGTGATATCACATTCTGTCTGTTTTATTTATAGCATTCTCATTGACCAGTGCGCAATAGTTTTCGAAGGAGTGTGCAAATTAAAACACTTTCTAGTAAGTGAATTTTCGACACTAATATGAACAATCAAATTAAACCACATCGCTTAATCATTAGCCACCAATAACTTTTGGTATGCATCACACAAACTTTACTGGTTGAGTGTGGTTAGAGGATTGAAGGAGTACGCGAATTTTCAGCGCAAAGGAAAAAGTGATCCCGACCAGTTATGTCCAAAATTGTAGACCGAAATGAAAATATCAGTGATCAAGCCGCTTCAAAAAGTTGAATGATTACAATTTGGACCGTTTTACTGGAAACGTTTTCGTGAGAGAATGCATATAGAAGTTTAGCATGATTGAATTATTTGGCCGGTTTGATTTTGTTTTTTAAAACCTTGCTAACTGCTCTCGCAATATCTGAGCACTTGTTACTTTTCACTTCTCAGTTCCCTTTGTAAAGCATAAAGAGTGTTCAGAAAAGCGTGTCAAAGGTGCATTCCGGCATATCTTCTCATAAATGTAATAGCCAACCGGAGTGAACGGATTCAATCATGAGCTAGATGAATTTTGACCAATATCATGACAATACCATGTTAAATTTAATAGCTGGGCGAGAATTTGAACCTCAGTCCTCACTTTGAAAAGTCTATATAACATGTGTTAGCATTGTTCGGATATTACGAAACTGATATTTAATCACAGATTGAAAAAAAACAGGCCATGGTTTTTCTATGGCAACTTTTCCCACACATTAATATGGTTATGTTTTCTGTAAACTGCAATGGAAGTTGCAGCGTAGTTTCCTCAGTGTTATATACCCGGCGTCATTTGTGGCCGAAGCAGATTTGCACTTGAGACGAAACGGCGCGAAAAGAATGCCAATTACTCGTTTATATTTACAAAGTAAAATACTCAAAGTCGCTAATCGTCCTGCCATCATTGTCTTCGAACTCATTTTTCTGGCGCGTGTGACATCAGTGCAAACATTACAAGACGTTTGACAATCCCAAGCGGAATACAATTTTCCATGCGTCAGATTTCCCTTCGGAAGTACTGCCCATAAAAATATAATAATGTAGCATGTAAACATTTTGTTTAGACGATCTTGACAGATGCCAAAACAAGAACCAGCTCTTTTGTGTTGTAAAGTAGTTGTAATTAAGCCTGTTTTTCATTCATAGCAAAATTTTTACTCCATTTGTAAGCATGCTGTGAACATTCGCATTCTGATTAGAACAAACTGTGAACGTTCTAATTGGGTGCAAAAATTCTTTTCGAATATTCTTATTTTGATTAGAACAGTTCTATTTCGTTCTAATTGGATGCAAAAATTTCTTTCGAATGTGCTTTTCCAATGAGTGGAATAGAGGAGCTTTACAGCACTAAATTACGTGTTAATTTACGCAAATATGTACCGTAGCTGATTTCTCCAGCCAATTGACGCGGAATAAAAGTTATAGCAGAGTATCGCGTCTCCTTTATGCAAATCTATTCAATAAGATCGGCGTCTGTAATAATTGAATCATTTTAACCACAGTTTCCAGGTGTTTTTATTGCAGGTTCTGTGTTGTCTTGATCATTAATTCTTTTGAACCCCCCAGGGAACATACCTAACTCTTCGGAGTAATATTGATTTAGAACGCGTCACTGATTGGTCGGCCGTTCTTATGTCCTCGAATCCGGTCATCTGATTGGCCGATCGGAGGCCTTTGCTACTTGCTGTTTGTATTCTACCGCACTGTCGAAACAACATAGAGTTGGCGAGCGATACAATATTACCGAAGTAGCAAATTTACAAATTTTTACGATTGTACGCAAAGATTTTCTACAGAAACATTTGGAATGAAGGATTAGGGTCCTGTGGATTGTATGAATCGGTTAAATCGAATAATGGGTCGTTTTAAAATGTGGTTGTGCGTTGGAATTTTTCTATCGTCTCTGTTGGTCATTAATTCTGGTATGTGTCGACCAGGTTGAATGTTATTTAGCGAAAGCCTGATTCTGTATTGCTTTAATGCCGCGTATTTACAAAACGAAACCGGTATCTGTACCTTGGATAACATTGGTTAGGATCTGAGACACCTATACGGCGTTTAAGATTGAATTTATGGTGATAATTCACAAGGAAATCTCGATTATTTTATCGTGTGGTTTGCCGTGATTGGCCGTGATTAATAGAAGAGTGCCAAATACTATGTCGTGTGCCTTATTTGAAACTATCGCACAGGCTTATTGTATCTACACGTCGCTACAGTATTTGCGTGGCGTTACATATGAATGTAGCAAAATGATGTTTTGGTTATCCTACCATAATCTACCATTATGTTTCTTTGGTGAAAATTTTGACTCTGATAATGGCGGCGGTATTGACAGTCAGACGTTTTAAGAGATATCATCGCATAATACCGCGTCGAAAATTTTGGCTACTTTGATCATTTGACTACAACGCATCGCGATTCGATACTGTTGAGTTCTAAAATGCACGTATTTAGAACATTAATGCGTGGCTGTTTAGTATTCTATATGGTGGCAATGTTTAATTGATGACTCGGTGACAACTTGTGGTGAAATTAAGTTTACTCTGAATAAACTATATGTGCGGATGAGAGCGAATACAACTCATGATTGTTCATTTTTTCGTTTCGTTTTATAGATGCTACTTGTACGTCCGGATCTTGTCAAAACGGTGGGATTTGTGAGAGTAATAAATGCAGGTAAGCGGGCGTTTTGTTGTGTGAATATTTTGTATATTATCGTATCGTTCATATTTAAATGCGCGTTTTAAAATATGCCGTTTGAAATGCAGTGCCGCTACAATGGTCACACGTGTGAGAGAATTTATTGACATTCCTTTAGTAAGAGTACTATTAATTCGACGCTAAGTTTGTGGCCATCGTTTAATCGTGTACATAAACTCCTTCGTACTTGTAAATACATAATATGCAGCGCGTACATAATTTCATGTAGAATTCGAATTCTTTTTGGAACAAATATTACATGTTCGATTTTCAATTAGAACAAATATACGTATTCGATTTTCAATTGGAACAGAATGGACATGTTCAATTTCCAATTAGAACGAATGGACGTTCTCGAAGTGCATTTACTATAGAATTAAGAATTTCGATGTGCGAGAGCATTCCGATAGGGAAGCAATAAACGCAGTCGCTATATTAAAACATCGCTTGCAAAAGAAAGTTTGCTTATTTTGAATAACTATAGGCATATGCCGAACTGTTTTGAGAAATACTGTTTGGTCTTTTTCAAGAATTATATGTCGAAAGGTATTTTGTCAAATCCACCTAGAAGTGAGCTTGGGGGAGCTTGGGTTCGCGGCGTTTTTCCGGAATCGCTAATTCGAAATAAGACGTGCATTCCTGGTGACGCTAATCGTTTAAAAAAAATTTTCACGAATGGCGATTTTTGCGAATTCGTGCCTAATTGCTTGCGGATTTTCGTTTCAATAATGTGTGTTTGGTATAAACTCGCCATTTGCTAAAAAGTCTGTAGTTAAGGAAATGAGGGATATCCATTCATTCCACATACATCCTGTCTGCATATATAGGTGATCTTGTATCTAGCCTGTTTTTTTTTTCTTCCAATGTCGAAGATTCTACTGTAAGGAGCCCTCCTTCTCAGAACATTATTTTGGGGTATAACTCAATCCCTTCTGCCACAGGACGTTTGGATTTAGGTTTTTTCCAGAGGCCTCTTTCATAAACTTTGGAATTGTTCCAGTTTTCATGAAAGAGGTCAACCAACGCCTTTGAAAATGTTTTGTTTTGGTTAATTTTGAAACCCCATGTTCATTCAAGTGATTCCTATAGTAATTCCTGAGTTCTTGAATCTTACTGTCAATTATGGCCAAACTGCTCAATCTTATTCTGTCTGAAATGTTTAGGGGTTTACACTACTTATTCTTAAAAAGTCATGCTCCAGTAATTGAAACTGTATTTGTGTTGTTCCTGTTGATCACAAAATAAAGCTAGGAGTTTAGACTAATCTAAACTTATATGTTGTTTTCGAAGAGCATGCTTTTGCTTTAGATAAATTAATCATGGAGCTGAAATGCTGAATTAGTCACAGGAAGGGGATTTTACAAAAGCAGATATATTTAATTTTTCATCTATTGTTTACAAACGATGTCTAAGATTTGGCCTAATGCTCCCTTAATTGTGACAGAGTAGGGTTGATTTACTGCCTAATGGATGAAATGGTCCATTTGTTGTGGCCACCCTCCTGTATTGGTCTAAAATTACTGTTATATATTTTGATGAAGACAAGTTTTTGATAATATGAATTAGTTATGAAGAACTTAAACGTTTGAACATTTTGCCGCACATGGAGAAGTGTGCGAGTTTGCTCAAAAGTATGTCTAAACATTGCAAGTCTGACAATAAAGTATATTTGACTGTATTTATTTTACATGAATGAACATGCATACTACAAAATGTAATAGGCAGATTAAAATAATAAAGTTGGGTACATTGCCACTCAACCTAGTGAGCGCCACGACACTCCCTTTGACAAGTAAAGTGTAGTGTTAGACCATGAAAAATAATAAAGTAGGACACAATGCAACTTGATGAGTTGAAGGGTTAACATGATGTATAGACAGATAGTCTGTTTAACCCATTGAGTGGCAGCACTCTGCCCTTGGCAAGTAAAATTGTCTGTCATAAGACAAAGTAAAATAATATAGTAGGGTGCATCATGATGCATTGCCACTTAAAAAAGGTTAATACTTACCACTTCACAGTACAAAAACATTTACAGTATAGGGCAAAAACTCAAACATAACTTTCTATTCAGTGTATCAGTAAACCATGCTTTTTGCTCAAGTTTCAAAAGCAACAATCTATCCCAAAGCGTCAATCTATTCCAAAAAGTGTGTGTGGGGGGGGGAAGTCGACCAATCACCAATGGACGTAATTTATTATAGATTATATTTCGAATATCAAAAAAAGTGAGGGGGACATGTCCCGGCCAGGATTGACGCCCTTGTTGAGTTTAGCTTACTCAATTCCACAAGTTATATTTACAAAACAATATGTTATAGTATTGTTCTTGATTGTTTAAAAAAATGATTAAAGCATCACATGTAAGGTTTAAAATGTGGTAGATTGGAAGTTAAAGTTTGCAGAAAAATGGCAATGCGAATAGACCGTGGCAAAGAATGAGTCATTCTTCAAAAAAGTTACAAATGGAGGAATGTAACATCTTGATTGTTACATATGCTGTTATATCAGACAAAGCACATAATCAGTTGTTACAACTTCACTACATAATATACACTTGGTTGCACTCAACACTGTAAAATTATGTTAAACTGATAAAAGAACAAAAAAATAATTGGTAACTGAGTAATGTGGCTTAAAAGGATATAATTAACAATGTACAGTATAATACTGTACATATGTAGATTAAACAAGGACAGGTTGGTTACATAACACTGCTAACTTTTGTAAAACATGTATCATATTGTACATTCATATCACTCTTATCAATTTGGTTTTTGCCAAAATGTATATGAATTATTACTGACAATATTAGTGGAGCTTTAAAGTCAGCATTTGTTGAGGAAAAACAGATTATGGTAAAGTGTTTGGGACATAATTGAAATGGTATTAATGGCTTCAGCATGTTGCACGGTAGGGCTTCCCTGTGCAAGGTAATTGTCTTCTGTCTACAACCGGCTTTGACCAAAATCTGGGAGAGAAATATTCAGATGAACGGAAAACATAAACATTGTTTTGGTTTTTTTTATTAAACAATTGTGACACTAACTTGTTTGAAAAATAGCCACTTACAATTCAATTTGTCTGTCTGTATGCTGCAATATGATATCTTGCAGCATATTATAAATTGATTTACCATCTGTTGTTAAGGCTAGCTATCCTAAGATGTAAAGCATAATCATGGATTCATGATATTCAAGGGGAAATATTTATGATAACTGTTATACAGTGGTAGTTTTGGATTGGACTCTTGGTTTGCTGTTTAAGAAAATACCCAAATATTGATTATAGTTATTTTTAGTTAGCTGCCTTTCCCAAAGAGTTTGATTACAAAGCTGATAATGCTTGTGCCACATTTGTTTTGAATATAGTGTTTTCTGAGTTTCAAAATCATTGAACATTGCACGTTATAGTATATTGTATATATTGAATATGTATATTGACCTACTGTATGACAAAGGCAACTAAAAGTTGTTTTTTTAATTTTTTTTTTATTTGCCTTACATGTGCAACTTTTCTGTAGTTAATTGAAGTTGTTTATTTTGCAAGTACAAGAGCTATCAATCAATACACAGTGGCCTAGCTAGCCCCACAATTCAGTCCCGCTATGCAAATATTGCCATGTTTATAAACTATCAACACAATCAAATTCTAAAGAAATGAATAATGATAATGAGTTGAAATTTGCATAGCGGGACCAAAACGTCGGGCTGGCTATGACACTGTCAATACACAGAACGTATTCAGGGCTTTATGTACAAGGAAAGTGGCCAGTTAGCAAGCTGGTTATAGATCACTATTTTGCCCCTGGCCCCAGCTCAAAAGGGGCCCCCAAAGCAATGAAGTCCCTTAACGTTTCTTGATACAAGACTGGTTAAACCAAGAATATAAATCCTAGCTGCATCAGCGCCAGATAACATGCAATAAATAATAATAATAATAATAATAACACTTTATTTATTGAGGATAAACAGATAAAGTTACAACTTTTTTCCAATCTGGTCCTCCTAAACTCTATATACACAACAACAATAACATTAAACATGACTATATTCAGTACTTCCTATAGGAGTATGAACAAATGAAATCATGGGTACATTGTAAAGTATTAACCAGTACTACAATTCAGTTGTTCATACCCCGAGAAAGCCCCAATTTACTAATTAGGCAATTTTCTAACTATGTCTAAATTATATTTACAGTACAGTATAACAAGTCGAAATACGCGTTGACACACAACTCACAAGTGTCTAAAGTGACATTATAAACATGACAGTATTTGACACTTTCTCCATGTACGAACAACCGAAAGTAGATCATGCTCAGCTAAAACTGCAGGCATGAATTTCGGCAGTTCGTACAAGTGCAATATATTGTAAAACGTTGTTCCTGTTTGACAATTATGACATCATAGGCCCCCTGGGAAAGTTTTACTCTGGAACCCAGGCAACCTCTCGGCAGCACTCCATGTATATCAGGCACAGATTTTCTGGGGGCTGCACTTTGAAATGATTTGCACTCCCCAAAGGCATTTGGCACCCCCGAAAATTACATATATTTTGATTTGATAGTTTCATATTTGATTATTCTTACTACTAAATTTGTAAAATTACCAATATTATGGTCTCAGATCTCGCCATGCAGGCCTAGAAAACAAATTTTGTTAAACTTTTTTCTTGGCCTTTTTGGGCGTTGCCACTACACCCCGGCCAAAGCAAGCAGCAGCACCCCCCAGATATTTATCTACCCCCTGATTGCCCTGAAGGAAAATATGAAAATCCATCTCTGATGTATATATGATTGAGCATTTAGTACTTTTTGCCTGATCACCAACAATTGCATGTAGTATTACTCTTCTGCAATTTCACTATATATCACAACAAGCTTTTATCAGATATTATAACATTTTAACAGCTGCAAAAGTGGCTTCACTGGGAACCGATGTGATGTGGACATTGATGAATGTAATGAACATCCTGGGATATGTCAGAACAATGGAATTTGTAGGAACACTCATGGCTCATACAAATGCACTTGCACTGCTGCATATACTGGATTGAACTGCTCAATAAATATTGATGATTGTAAGACGGATGATGGTTCATCAAATTGTCTGAACAATGGTACATGCATTGATGGAGATGGTAAATTCTCCTGTGAATGCCAAGACCCATATATAGGTATGATGAATATTTTATTTTTATAGTACTTATAAAACACATGAATGTCTTCAGTGAGAATTGAAACCCACAACTGCAGAGGTGAAAATCAGCAATTCAATGGCAATACATTCTGGTTTGACTCACTCTTGATTCCAACTCTTACTGTTTTACTCTTTCTACTCTTACTGTTTTACTCTGCACTCCAGGCTGTCGAAAGGCAGTTATAATATTTACTACCCTACTTTAATATATTACAGGTACTTTGTGTGAATTTGTTGATGAATGTAAAAAAGTAAATAACCTCTGTGGTAAAGGTGTCTGTGATAAACATCGAAATGGTTCAGCAATCTGCAGATGTGATGAGACAGGATACAATGGCACCTTTTGTCAAAATGATATTGATGAGTGCTCATTGCCCATTCCACCATGCGATGGGACAATTGCTACATGTGTTAATACTCCAGGCTCCTACGTTTGCTTTTGTAAGGCTGGGTACACAGGTTAGTTATATATGAACTGGTAAAATGTCAATGGTTCAAAGCTACAAATGAGTTGTCAAATTTTTGCCTATACCTAGAATAAAAGCAACAGGCTGGCAAATTTAAGTTTTCAACAAAGCGTGTTTGTTCTCATATGGAGCTTTGAAATATCTAATAAGTTTGGTATACACTTCCATGAAGTTATTGGTTTGTCTGTTTTTTCTTTTACTAACATTCACAACAGATGCAAACCATGTAGGTCGGCTATTTTCTGCCACCCTGACTCATGACATGACTTGAATTCTGAGTTCTATAATGTCCTGTTTGTTTTCAGGGCTGCAAAATTACCACTGAAAAAGGAATTAATTCCAATTACAATTACTTGCTTTAAAATGTAATAAATTCCTGATTACAATTACTTGTTCTAAAATGTAATTAAGTACAATGAAAAAATTACTGCGGAAAAAAGGAATTAAGGGACTGGTCATAATTTATCAGGGGGGGTGGGGAGGTGTCATTCAAAATTTTAAGGAATGATATTTTGTGACCCTGCTTTGCCATAACCCGGAAAAATAATGCCCCCCCTCTCTCTCTTGCTTGTGTTAGTAAAAACGTACCTACCTACTACTAAACCCTGCATTCAATAAATTTTCTAATTGTACTTTTCTAATTTTCTAGTTGTGCTTTAAATCAAATACTAAAATTTATATTATACCAATACATAGTCATATAGTAAAACTTTAGTTTTTTCAAACTTTTCATTCTAAGTTTAAAGAATCAATTTTTTTTTCAATGCAACTGAAACAAAATGTGAGAAGGCATGTATAAAACAATTAATTGAACTAAAACAGCAGACCCCCTCCCCGCCTTCATAAACTGTCTAACATTTTATGAACCCCCTTTTTTCCTGGCTAAAAAATATGTGACCCCCCACTGTTTCCACCTCCCCACCCCTCCTGCTAAATTATGACCAGTCCCTAATTACAAATTCCTTTACCGGCAAATTGTTACTATATATATTATAAGACAATATCTTAAACAGTAGTTGTAAATAAAAACGGTTTAATTAAACTATGAAATTTGCAAGAATTTATCAAGATGATATTTCAATATATTAAAACATTTTACATGCAAATCGAAGCATGTAAACTTAAAACTTTATTTGCCAATATTTGGCGCTCTGAGCATCGGAATAAATTGCGGTTTCCACTTTTGCAGTAAATAGTACTTCATGTAGGCTATCATGTCATGTGATCTCGTTGAAAATTATTTCAGCCATTTTTCTGAATTTTTGTCGTAACGTGTTTTTTTTTATTTCTTATTTTTAACAAAATAAGAAAAGGAATCTTCAATTTGCTCCTTGGAAAAGGAACACGTTCCTTGCTTTTGTAATGAATTAAGTTTTTCGTTACTTTTCTAAAAACGTAATTAATTACAGGTTAAAATTACTTCAAATGTAACGAGTACACAGTAACGCGTTACAAATGTAACGAGTATTTACAGCCCTGTTTGTTTTTCAGGTAAACTCTGTAGCTCATACATTAACTACTGTGCAAGCATTCCATGCCAGCATGACGGGACATGTCGGACTCATCATAACAGTTACCACTGTTTATGCAAAGATGGATACACTGGAAATCATTGTCAGACAAAGGTCAATGAATGCGGTAGCTTGCCATGCCAAAATGGTGCACAATGTGTTGACGAAGATCAAGGATATAGATGCAAATGCCCACCAGGTAGGTCCGGTTATCAATTACCTGTTATTGTTTGTGTCTAAATTACATGGTAAAGATTAAGAACAATGTGACATTGGAGTAAAAGAAGATATTTAGTATTGTTGAGTAAAATCATCTGGCATTAGACAGAGTAAGATGATGCATTGCAGATCATTGATTTAGCGAGAAACATTGGCAGATCACCTAGCTAACCAACCTATCAAGGCCCTACACTTCCTTTTTGAAGAGTTTGAAAATCATTTGACATTAGATAAAAGTAGAAAGCACAGTAGGGTTCATTTGGGCACATTGTGGCTAGTGTTTAAGTATGCTACAAAGATTAATCGGGCCGATTTCAGGTTTTGCCGAATGTTAATGATGAATGTTGTCAGTTGACAATGTTGTCTGATGATGCTGACAGCATATTTTCCCAATATCATTGAATTGAAGCTGAATTGGGCTGATTATTTATCGTTGTGTGTAAATGTACCTTTAGATCTTTAATCCTGCATATACATTATGTTATTTTCAGGATTCAAAGGAGTAAATTGTGAGACTCCATCGGACCATTGTTTAAGTCGTCCTTGCCAGAACAATGCAACATGCACAACTATCGGTAATACTTTCAATTGCAATTGTGCTGCCGGCTACACAGGCCATAACTGTAGCGTGAATGTGGATGACTGTCTCTCAGCAAATTGCCAGAACAATGCAACATGCAAGGATGGTGTCAATGAATATAAGTGTGTATGTGGGCCAGGATTCAATGGATCTTTATGCCAGTATGATGTGAATGAATGTCTTTTATTGCCATGTCAAAATAATGGAAATTGTACCAATAAAATTGGGACTTATATTTGTGAATGTCCTTCGGGTTTCACAGGTGAGTCTGGTCACTTTGATTTCATTGAAGTTGCAGATTTGTTTGGTGTGGCAGTGGTCGTACGTGTACCTGAGATTCAATATGCCATGCTATGGAATTGTTGGATTATAGTTCTTTAGTGTCTTTGTCACACATGAGTAGAGTGCCTTAAGTTTTGAAGACAAGCTGCCGCCGATGTTCTCTGGGCACTCGTAGAAACTTACTAATAGAATTATTTGCTACTATAAACATTAACAAGTTATTAGAAATGAAAAGTAAAGTAAGCCATCAGGCAACACAGATCTGAATGTTTTGTTCTGTGAACATTATTTCACCCTTTTTTTTCTTGCTGCTCTCTAAATTATCGAAATTTGTTTTATTTTTTATTATATATAGGTAAAAATTGTGAAACAAATGTGGATGATTGTGCCAGGGTAACATGTTTAAATGACGGCAAGTGTAAGGACATGTTGAACAACTTTACATGTGACTGTCACCCAGGATTCAGGGGAGAATATTGTAAAGAAAATATCAATGAATGTGAACTGCAGCCTTGTAAAAATGGGGGCACATGTGTCGATGGCATTGCTGGGTATACTTGTCATTGTACAGAGAAATGGATAGGTAAGTAGTGAACTTTCATGATATGAAACCGGAACCACAGGTATTTTTTTAGGCCTAGAGACTAGAGTTAGTTTAGTTGTAGTTTAGAAAGATCTTTATGGAACATTCTACTGGATGTACAGCACAGGCCTTCACCTTTTAATATTTTTTTCATTTAAACCATTTCTTAGGTGAGAACTGCACAATTCGAAATGACAGCTGTCAGATGCACTTTTGTGAGAATGGTGCTACTTGTGTGAATAATGGCAGCTCATACTATTGTAAATGCGCTTCTGGCTTCAAAGGGAAATACTGTCAAATGGGAATCAATGAATGCCAGTCAACTCCTTGCCAACATGGTACTTGCAAGGATGGTGTGAATGATTATCACTGTATATGTCAGGCAGGGTGGACAGGAAAAGACTGTGATGCGGATATTGATTATTGTAAAGATAAGTAAGTACCATTTTAACCCATCAAGCACCAGTGCTCTCCCCTTGATAAAATAATTTGGTGTTAGATGGAGTAAAATAATAAAGTATGGCTCATTAGGGGGCAATGTGGCTTAATGGGTTGTGGAAACATTGTTGACAGTGGTTCTTAAATGAGGATGATTGTCCCAGTGTAAAATGCTTAAACGATAATGAGGCATGCAGGTAATTGGTGCAATTATCTGAATGCCTAGCATTTTCCAGGTATAAATAATGTTGAAATAAATTAGTGTCTTCGGAGGAGAATGGCTTTGTTGAAACCCAACTATAACATCTATCAATGTTATTTAGGTATTGTTATAACAATGGCACATGTATCGATGGTAAACTGAAGGCCACTTGCAACTGTCCGGTTGGGTTTACTGGAATTTACTGCGAGTATTTGGATGATTTGTGCAAGTCAGATCCCTGCCAGAATGGGGCGACCTGTGTCAACGAGATTGGAAACTATCGTTGTTACTGTAGGTTTGGATATGAAGGTAATTTATTAAAATTTATTCAGTCTGTGAATGTCATTAAAATTTATTCAGTTGATGAAATAATTTATGATAATTCATTTTGACTAGCACATATAATGACAAGAATTAACAATATTTTAACCCTCCAAAAACTGGCCGTTGAACACCATCTAACACTTGCTGCCAAACGTACAGTGCATAGCCCATTTCCACTAGGCAAATCTTGGCAATGTGATTGGTCAGCAAAAAATTCGCTGCAAAAAAGTTGGATCAGTTCCTACCACTTTTTTTACTGTTCGAGTGACCAAATTCACCTAGTGGACAATTGGCTTAAGACTTAAGAGCGTCTGCTTACATGCTAGCCACGATCTGCTAAACCCATCTTTTAGCCCCATATGCAGAATCAATAAAAAATAACATAATTTGTGCTTGTGTTTAGGTAAAAACTGTGAGAGACAAATTGACTGGTGTAAGTTAAACCCATGTAAAAACAATGCAACATGCCATCCTGAAGGAACCAGTTCATTCACTTGTGATTGTCCATCAGACTACACAGGCACCTATTGTCACATCAAGAACTGGAAATGTGCGGATACGAACAAATGTCAAAACGGGGGTAGCTGTAAACAGCGGTCGGGATACTCGACCTGCAATTGCAAGCCAGGATTTAGAGGTCTGTAGATAGCTCTTTATATTTAATTATAGACTTGCTACAAGTCGACCTCGTATGCGGAGCGACGAGAGTGAGCGACGAAGTTGTGAATTGACTTCTGCAAATTCCTTACTCTTCAAGAAATTACTTCCTTGAAAATTCCTTCGTTCTAAACAAAGATGAAGGACTTTGCGAAAGTCTATTTATATTACAGTCCGCAAGATTTAATGTAAATGTATTACATGATTTATGCATAGTCAAACCGAACGAGAATGAGAGTTGACGAGAGTTGCAACTTTTGTGTTTGACCACCACCTCGCATCGACTCTCGTCAACTCTGAACTGGTTCGAATTTTAATAAAAGTTGATGAGAGTTTGAGGCATAGCCAGGATTTTCGGTCAGGGGGTCAGCAAAAACCTTGGTGGGGCCAGGTTTCACTTATTTTTATAGAATTAATTTTCTCAGGGGGGGGGGCATAATTTTACCAGGGGACCCCGGCCCCCACCTTGGCTACACCTCTGGAGTTTGACCGGTTATATCCAGTCAACTCTAACTCTCTATTGACTGAGGCACAAGAGTTGGAAAAACTGTCATGTAAACTCTTGTTTACCAACTCTCGTGCACTCATCAACAACCCTCATGAACGTTGAACTGGTTTAAATTTCGATTGACGAGGGGTTTTGATCATTCAATCTCTCGTGCAACTCCTGATCTCGTTTGACACGCACTTGAGAGTTGCGAAAGCTCTCGTGCAAATTGTAAGTAAGATCTTCCTAACTTTCATCAACTCTCATCCAGGGCTTTGGATTTGAAATAGTATTGTTATAATTACAGGTGATATCTGTGAGACGAACATTGATGACTGCGCAAATGGGCCATGCAAGCATGGAGCGACCTGTGTCGATGGCATTGAAAACTATAATTGCACATGCTTTCCCGGATTCATGGGCAGAAACTGCGAGATCGAAATCAAAGAATGCAAGAGTAACCCGTGCAAACACGGGAGATGCATTGACCTCATCAACGAATACGCTTGCATATGCGACACAGGCTGGGTGGGGAAAAATTGTGATGAAAACCCCAATGACTGTAGCAACGATACATGTTTCCATCAGGGCAACTGCTCGGATGGATTGAAGGATTTTACTTGTAAATGCCGGACAGGATTCAGGGGAAAGCGATGTGAAGAGGATATTGACGAGTGTTCTACCAACCCGTGTTGGGCCGAAGGAACGGAACGTTGTATTGATTTAGTCAACGATTATTACTGCAAATGCAAGCCTGGTTATGCCAAGCGTACATGTTCTTTCGATATCAATGAATGTTTAAGTAACCCTTGTTTGAACAACGGTCGCTGTAAGGATGAAATTGGACGATATGTCTGCGAATGTCCGTACGGTTTTAGTGGTGTTAACTGCGAGAAATCTGTTCAGAGTTGTGCTGATGAGCCGTGCTTGAATGATGGAAAGTGTACGGAGGTTGGCAGTCGATATAATTGTAGCTGCAAGAAAGAGGTCTTTGGACGGCATTGCGGATTCAATCAAGATGATTGTGCGCCGAAATCTTGTGCGAATGCTTCCAAATGCGTGGATGGTTATGGAGACTACACGTGTGAGGGTTGCAAGCCGGGTTACAGTGGGGATAAATGTCAGTACTTCGATATATGTGAGCTGAATTGTAAGAATGGAGGGACCCTTGATGAAGATTCGTGTAGTTGTAAATGTGAAGGTAGGTTTTGTGTTTTAGCGAGTGTTGAGAATTGTGGTGATGATGACGCATAATGGTCGTGATTGTGTTGATGTTCATGGTGAAGGTGGTTGTGTTGGTGGACATAGTGATGACGATAATGGTGGTGATGATGGCGATGGTTGTGATGATGGTTGTTCCTCATGATGGTGGTTGTGTTTGTGGGATGGTGGTGATGATAGTGGTTGTAACACATAATGGTGCTAGTGGTGATGTTGTTGTCGTTGTCGTCGTCGTCGTCGTCGTCGTCGTCGTTGTTGTTGTTGTTGTTGTTGTTGTTGTTAAAATAAACTTTCCTATTTGCTTTTGCAGATACTGGGTACTCGGGCAAGACATGTGAAGATAAAGACTTGCTCTGTCCTTATTCAGAGTGCCCGAACAAATTCAATGTCGACGCCGATTGCAGTGTAAGTTTATATTGTATTCTTTAGGCAAGCATGATTATAATCTTACACTTTAGTTTATTGTTGACTTCATTTCTATCCTAAGTTTTCTCAGTCAAAAAGCACTGTAACATAGCAGAATGTTTATTTACTTCTTTATTTATCAGGGTAAATGTAACATTGAAAAGTGCAACTTTACCGCTGGGTCATGCTCGTTGGGGATTTCACCGTGGAAAAATTGTCTATTCAAAAATTGTTCTAAGTTATTCAACAACAATGGAACGTGTGATGCTGCTTGTGATACTCCAGACTGTCTCTTTGATGGACGTGATTGCGATGAGCCAGTTACCCCTTGCAGGTAAAGCTGAATTTTGCCGTTAGCTGAAATTTCCAGTGAGCTCATTGGCGGTGCCGGACACCGAGGCACAGATTAAGTATATACCAGATGTGTAACTTCATAGGACTTCGTGTTCACAAATTTCCTTAAGCTGTACACGTCATGACACTTGCTAGCAAGATGGCGACCGTGGGACAACTATTTTACTGAAGTTACACATCTGTTTATACTTAATCTGTGACCAGGGGGAGGGCAAGCGCTCTCCTAATAATTCCAAGAACAGTTGATAGCTAAATAACTGTAACAAAACTAGGCTACAAAGTAAGCTATATATTGCATGCAATTTAAGGCAACAAACTTGAGAACTGCGCTTTGAAAAGTAACCTGAAATCGGCCAATTATAATTATTTCCGCATTCTGCTAACTTCGGATTGACCATGCACCATCTGTTACACAATTATAGTGAGTGACTGTGAGTCTTTCCTATACCTTGTATAACCTTGTATTAACATCATGTATTTTTGTAGTGATGTAGATAGATGTTCGAAGAGTCTAGTTGACAAGACTTGTGACCTGGCGTGTGACACTTTAGGATGTGGTTATAGCGGTTTGAACTGTGATTACTCTCCTCCTAAACTGGTAAGAGAATCGATATAAGTGTTTGTAACACAGTGGTTACTGCACACAGTGGCGTAGGGTTAGTTCAAAAACTAAGGGCTTCCTCCATTACGGCCCCCCTCTTCCTTCCACAGTGGTTACTGCACGCAGTGGCGTAACGCTCAATAGCTAGTGTGACTGCCATGTGTGACGGTCATGCATTTATGAGC